CCTTGTGTTCCATGACACATGAGTTTGGAAAGTGCTCTGAAAAGTCAATTGTGTCCAACCTGTAGGGGATCCAAAGCAGGACCTTGCTTATGAACGTCAGTATGAACAGCAGACCTATCAAGTGATCCCTGAAGTGATCAAAAATTTCATCCAGTATTTCCACAAAACTGTCTCGGATTTGATTGATCAGAAGGTGTACGAGCTTCAGGCCAGTCGTGTTTCCAGCGATGTCATTGACCAGAAGGTGTATGAGATCCAGGACATCTATGAGAACAGGTATGGGCCACTGGCTGAAATGACCTCTTTCTGGGAGGGACTAGTCTATTGGTGCAGCAAAGGGTCTTCTATAATCATTTTTCTATGAAGAAGGCTCAGGGGATTTTTGTGATTCTTTAGGCCTAGAGACATGTTATTCATTTGGACTTTGTCTCCCCAGAAACTTACACAAGGCTTAAAATGATGTCATTACTAATAATTATAATAATACCAGCATATATTATCAGTATAGATTGATATTCAAAGTGCTTTTTCTGTATTTACTAACTTATATGTCACAGTAATCCCATGAAGTAGATATTATGGTTTTTCTCATTTTAGAGTTAGGAAAACAGGACAGAAATAAGTCACATTGCTAGTTAAGTGGATGTACTACTGAGTTTTGAACCTGCATAGGCTTGACACCAGAGCTAATTTCGAAACTATATAACCTTTCAGCTGATACATGGATAAACCAAGCTATAAAGCAGTTTTGAGGGGACTGTGCTTATTATTATTATTATTATTTTAGTGTTTATTTATTTTTATTTATTTTTAGTCATATATGACAGCAGAAAGTGTTTGTTTATTTTTATGTGGTGCTGAGGATTGAACCCTGGGCCTCACGTGTGCTAGGCAAGTGCTCTACCACTGAGTCACAACCCCAGCCTGGGACTGTGCTTATAAAATAGAAACAAGAGAAATCAGTCACGGATGGGATAGTCAAGAAAGACTTCACTAAGGAAAGCAGCAAGTCCT